CCACGTCTGTTGTCTGCCTGGGTCGAATAAATGTATCTTTTCAAGTCTAAAAACCTGAATAACGAATTGTATAACAATTATGAAATCATTTTTCTTCTTTTTCTGACCCTGGTCTACCACAATATGAAAGACGAGTACTTTAGTGGGTAAGAAAATAGCTAGAACCTATCACAACGAAGTTTTTATTTTATGGGCAGGTTTTATAGGCAGGTCGGTACACCAAAAACTAACAGAAGCAACGAACAGAAACAATCGTAGCGACTGGCCCATAGTTGTGTAAAGATCTAATCTACAGACAACAAATACATGTCATTTTACAGTACAGGAGGTTGACGCATATCCAGGCGGGTGAAAATATATAGGTGGCTCTTAACAGAACGAATCGAAGAGGCGAATTACATGGGATATTACAGCAGTTGCTGTCCTGTAGCCAGAGGTTCAAAGTAGACAACAAATACACAACGAAAGAAGCATGTCAGTCTCCAGAAGAAAGAAGGCGAAGACAACTTCAGCCAGCGTAGGTGATGCTGATACAAGCAGGGGACAACTCGTGGCAGGTGTGTGAAGATACTGAATAGCAAAGGACATTTACTAGTGATGCAGAGTTCTGTGTGGTCTCGAGGCAAGATGTCCGTCTCGAGTGCTAGAGCTTCCGGGTTAAATCCCTGGTAAGGGTTGGAATGTTTTTAGGTGGACTTGGACTTCTAGTAATTCCCTCTAGTCTCTAGGTACTGAGATCTGACGCCCGTGTGTATTGTTACACATGTTAAAAAATCTATCGGCAGTTAGGAATTTTTAAAAAGTAGCCTAACGGCGCTGTTTGGGCAAAATGTGAGTTCAAAATCTACTCAAAGTATTTCAGGATCCTCTACATAGCCTGTGCACTAGGATGAGCTTCTTCAGACCCAGACTTGAGTAAGAAGAAAGAACTGAGCACTTATGCCTTACTACCCGTGTGCCATGATGTTGATGTGTTGTTAATCCTCTAGACAGTTAATAATGATGCTAAGTGGAGTTGGAACACAAGAACAGCTCAAGTAACACTGTTTGTGAAGAACTATATCATTTACAGCACATGTTGAATGAGTTTGTTAATTTAGAATGATAAAAAACCAAATGAAAAATATATCAGCGAGCTTTACGATGTAAGTAACAATAACAAAACGTAAACGTTGCGGTCATAGAAACCTTTATCTACACATACATAAATCATACAACAATAAGCATCTATACCTTAAGACATCTGCTGCGGGAGACGAGTATCAATGCGTATGCCTGGTGTTCTATGTGTCGATTCTTAAATCAGTAATCAATCAAAGAAAACTACACGAATACACACAATCACTTAACTGAGTTTCCCAGTAGCAGCCACGTTGGGGTTTTGCCAGTGGAATGGTTAATCTAGAGAATTAAAAAGGAAAATTTGCAAACTTATAAAACTGACTTGTGTTATAGTATGACCTGTATCCTAAGTTGTTTATGACTGAATCTACTTCTGATTCGTGTGTTTATGGGTAGAACAGTAACATCGCTATGATAAGGTTGTGTATGATCTCATATTCTGTCTCGTCTGCACTTATTGGCAGCCTAATCTCTATGGCTAACTTGATCGTTTCGATAGTCATAAGCTTGGGGATGACGTAGGCTCTTCCATAATTATATTCATAAGTGTGACGGTTGTGAAAAATAATGATGATGGTGATAATAATGATGATAAAAAGTACAGTTATGGCAATCATTATGATGACGGTTACTGTAACTTCAGTAATGATGATGATAACAGTTATGTCTGTCATTATAATGGAGGTTACTGTAACTTCAGTGATGATAACACTTATGACTATCATTATAATGGAGGTTACTGTAACTTCAGTGATGATGATGATAACATTTATGACTGTCATTATAATGGAGGTTACTGTAACTTCAGTGATGATGATGTTAATACTTATGACTATCATTATAATGGAGGTTACTGTAATTTAGGTGATGGTGATGATGATGAGAAACTAAGTTATGACTATCATTGTGATGAAGGTTACTGTTAATTCAATGATGACGATTTTAATTATGTTTTTGGTGATGATGATGGCAATGATGATGATGTTATGACAGCTATCACTATCATTACAACGAAGGTTAATGTAACTT